TTAGGGTTGTGACTATTTTCTCCAATCCATACACACTGTCCCTTCACTCTGTTCCTTGTTTCTGTGATAGTGAAGAAACTTTTTGGTGTGATGCAGTCCCATTTGTCTTTGTCTTTGTTGTTGTTGCCTGTGCTAGTAGGATCATATTTAAAAATTCTTTGACAGGGGTAATGTCAGACAGCTTTTTCCTTATGTTTTCTTCTAGTAGCTTTACAGTTTAACCTTTAATTTAACCTTTAATACGATTTGAGTTGATTTTTGTATAACGTTCATTCTTCTGCATACCCTATAATTTCTACTTTGAAAAATGTAGACTAGGGAATATTTCTGTAGGATTAGTACTAAGATATTTTCCTGTCACATGCGTTTTATGATGTTTACTGTGAACATATGCAAATGATAGAAATGTAAAAACAAGAAAATACTATCATTCAGACTTCCTCACCTCAGAGTCTGTAGTCTTATTTTATTCTTCCTTCCTCCTTCCTTCTTTCCCTTCTTTTGTTTCCACTCTGCCTCCTTCCTTCCCCCTTTTCTCTCTAAATCTCAACATACATTATCATTTTATATGAATTTTTCAAATTTAACATTTTATTCTGTTTCACTGTGCATTCAAGATCATGTGATTATTTTCCCATAATTTAAATATTCTCAGAAACATTTTCAATTTAATTATAAGCTATATTGCAACTTAATCTCTATTATTAGATGTTCTGCCTGGTGACAGTAGTTTGTTTTTCGTTTTTGGTAATCAAAAATAGTTTTATGGATCATTTGTGGGAGTAACAGTTTACATGTTGGTCTCATCATTGTTTTAAGATAAAATCTTAGAACTTAATATTTCCCTGAATGGTTATCTAATTTAAACTCTCACTAGACTGGCACAGGAGTGATCTGGGGCTTTTTTTCATTGGAGAATTTTCAACAGTGATCTTAGAGTTGAGCCAACATTAGAATCTGAGATTATAATTCAGAACAGTTTTGATAGTTCAGAGAATTGCTTAGTTAGTCTTTCCCCAATTAAAATTCACTTGGTGAAAGTGAGGGCAAAAGAAATAGCTCATATAAAAATTACAAGAGCAGCAGTGCACAACCCTCCTAGCACCTTTCTGTGTTTATCAACCTGGAAGCTCTTAGAACTCCATTGTTTAAGGTGTTTTTTTTTTTTTTTAAATAAAGGTTTCATCACGTAGGCACAATCCATTATTAACTCAGTCTCTAATTTCTCTTCTATCCAGAGAGGTTGGGGGTAGAAAGAGTAGGTGAAAATGAAAGTTCCAGACTTCTAATAATTATGGTTTGGTATTTCTGGAAGCCAGCCCCCATTCTGAAGCTGTCTAGGTGCCTATAGGAATTTACCTCATTAGAATAAATGCATATCCCACAACTCAGGAAATTCCAAGGAATTTAGGAGCTTCCTGTTAGAAACTGGGGACAAAGACCAAATATATATTTCTTATTATGCCACAGATGCTCATATTTTCTTCCATGAAATTTTAGGGAAAATAGAATTACTTCATCTTGTAAATGGCACATGGAGGATAGAAACACTATTCTAAAATTTAAAAAGAAATATTTATAAACAAACACACACACATCAGTAAGCAGTTTAAAAGCCCAGTCCTGTTTGGTTTACGTTATAGCTGTATGTGTTTCCAATGTGATTTATATCCTACAGTCCTATGTCAAACATTTAATTAGCAATTGTTCTGTTCATTTGTGATACAATTCTAATTAATTCAAATGAATGACCCTGAGATAGTTATAATCCAGAAGGACTATATATTTTGGTCTTTTTTTTCTTTCTGATGACTGATATTCAGCATGGTTTTAAGATTATTAGCAAATTGCAGGCAATGACTTAAAAATCAGAAGATGTAATCAACTTGGTTAAATCAGTTAATTAAATATCTCTTCAAGATGACAGGGAATTGGCTGTGTTTTTATTACCCAGTGAACTCTTTGTCCTCTTGTGCTAATAAGCTATTTTTCTTGTTTTCCTTTTTAGCCTAGATTCCCACTATTCCTAACTGAATGTGAGATTATTTTCTAATAGAATAATGTTTTAATAGATCAGATTTGTTGGGAGGTCAGTACTGCTATATACACTACCAGGCTTGCTTCTTGAGGGAGAATCTTCCAGATGACTGTGCCCTGCACACAGGGTGCTTCTCTGACAGTAAGGAGTGTCAGAGTATTGCTCCTGTCCCTGATGAGACAGATGGAGAATAAATCACCAATGAATTGTTGCACAAAAACTAAAAGAGATGGAGCTATAACTCCAATTAGTATATCTGTCTTAATAGTATATTGTTCTTGGTGTATTCAATAGTTGTGGAAGGTTAAAGAAAAATGGCAGCTGTACTTTGATTTTGGATATCTGTTTTCTTTCTTAATTTTTTCCTTTGACATGTGTTCCCTGCAAAATATTAGAAAATATAGAGAAATGGAAAAAAAAAGAAGACAAAAATCACCAACAATTCTATAGTTGGAGATAAATCCTCTATCATTTTTTTTTTATTTCTTATTGCCTTATATTTGGGATCATATTATTCATATACTTTCATGTTTTTGTTTCACTCAGCATATCATTAACACCTTCAAATTCTAATAAACAGCTCTGAAAATATAATTTTAATGACTAATAGTCAATTTTACAACAATACCATTATTTATATAACTATTTGTCAGTCTCAGTTTTCAATTTTATAAAAAAATCATGCTATGATAAACACTTTGTACCAAAATTTTTGTGTCTAATCATGATTATAATAAAATAGCATTTGGCTACCTGAAAAGGCATATGGTGTTGTATGAATTGTTCTTTGAAGGATACACAGATAGGGTTTTGGTAAGTATATGGGAATCAGGGCAACACAACTGAGGAAAATTCATGAGCAGAGATGTGAACAGGTATGAGCTTGTGCTGTTATCTATTTGAGTGTGATCCAATTGTAGTAGAACGATAGGCTTGAGAAATTGAAGGAAATAAAGTATGAAATGTAGAGTGAAAATCTGAAATTGTGTTACTAGAATAGATATTACCCAACATGAAATTGCTTAGTTTCCTTGAAAATTAGACATCTTCTTCTTCTTGCCCTATAAACCAAAAGGCCTGAATTTTCTGAAACATTGTGTGTTTCTCCCTATATGTCCTGGGGGAACTGATTCCAGGACCCCCATGGATATGATAATCTGTGGATGCTGAAGTCCTTTGTGTATGGCGTATTTTCATATGATCTGTGTACATCGTTCCATGTACTTTAAATCGTCTCTAGATTACGTATAATTCCTAATATAATGTAAATGCTGAGGTGAACAGTTGCTACATAGTGTTGTTTAGGGAATAATAACAAGAAAAAAGTCTTTATTTATTCAGTACCCTAAGCAAAAATAACAGAAATGGGAGCAGACCTCAATGGATCAGCAAGCTGTCTTTATTAAGTAGCGGCGGAATGTCACATTTTCAGAGGAGAAAAATGGCAATTGGTTAAAAAAGGAGTCTGTTTTTTATAGATTTTAACCAGATTTAATCATAGCATTATGTTTAGTGTGACTTAATCATTAGAGACTTGGGCAGTCAGGAAAATAGTTTTGCAGGTTCAAAGTCTAAATCAGAAAAACAGTTGTAAATGTTCAAAATCAATTGTTTCTGGGATGAAAGTCCATAGTCCAGAGCCCATTGTTTGCCTTCTTTCTCCCTGGGGGTTATTATTCCCTGACCTTCAAGTATGGATGCAGTTTTATATTCAAATGGTTGGATCTGGAGTTTGTTGAAGTACATGTGCACAGGTACTTTGAGAGTCCATCTCTAAATTAAAAAAAAAAAAATTAAAAAGGCTGGGGATGTGGCTTAGTGGTTGAGTACCCCTGGGTTTAATCCTCGGTACAAATAAATAAATAAATAAATAAAGTTGAATAATCAAATTTTAAAATGAATTTCTCTAGTAACCTTCAAACTTTATTGCCCTCATATCTATGCTTCTTTCTTTTTCTCTAACTTTATTTCAAGTCAGATGTGAACCCATTTATTTTATTTTGCCTTTATATAAAGTAATTCACTTAGCAAGTATATGTCAAGTACCAGCTCTGATACAGGCATTTAGTGGGTAATGAAGACCCAAAAACATGTAAGAGGAGGTGTTCTTCTCAACATTAAGTACCTACTTTCTAGCAGGAGAGAGACCTTCAAATAATTAACCTGTTTGTGTTAAATGTTATAATATTCATTAATGTTTTTTTATTTAGTCCATTTTATGTATAAAACTCCCATGATTATTACACAAAGTGTGATAGAGGCCACAAGAGGCTTATATTTCAGTAGAGATAATGACATTAAGCTAATGAATTCAGTGGTCTAGCATGTCGTCCCCTTACGTACATTCATATCACAAGACAGTAATGTTTTTGATTTGGAAAAGTATTTTCAGGATGGCAATTGGAAATATCTGGAAGCCCAGAATCAGAGTAAAGTCACAACTTATATGAAGCAAATATTTAAAAGTTGCTCTTCATATAGATAGGAGGGGGCAAGGAAAAGTCCATAGAGGAGAAGAGTAAGGGCTTAAATTTAAGTGGATAATTTATGTAGTGGTTCTGATTACCCAGTGGACACTCTTCAATATATAAGGACCTCAGTGCTAACCCAGATATGCTGAATCAGAATTTTGGGCAAATGGGTCCAGCACGCACTAAGTTTCCTTAGTGATGCTGCTGATGTGTTGTCCTGGTTAGAAGCCTCAAAATGAATTAATTTGTGTTTTTTCTCACCCGAAGAAGTTGTCAAGTTGTCTAAAATTACAATTTTGAATCTATTAATATACTTAATATGCATGTGTCTACATTTCTGTTCTGTATATCTTTCTCATACTATTTTTAGTTCCTGAGAATTTTTTTGTTACTGGTATCAAGTTGTATTATAAATTTGATATATAGAGATATATATATACTGAAAAAGTTGAAAAGAATTTCTGTAACTTTTTTTTTTTTTTATTAAATAGTAGAGACAAAAGCCAGAATGGATATTCGAGCGTGGTATTTGAGAACTTCAAAACTGGCTCTGGCCTTGGCAATTATCCGATCAAAACCGGCAGACAAAAGCAGCAGAGAATACACAGAGCACCTTGCAGCACTGGTGTCTAAGCAGGAGTCGAAATGGAGGTCAAAAGTTGAAGCCTTGGAAGCCGAAGTTCTACAGTTACGTCAAAAACTTCTTCTGAGTAGAATTTGTTCAGGATCAATTAAGAGTGGTGAGTATATGAAATCATGTTTTGGTAATGTGTTTACCTATTTTATTTCAGCTGTTCATATTTAGAAATTTATTACCCAATCATGAAATTGCTGAATTTCCTTGAAAATTAGTCATCTTCTTATTCTTGCCCTATACATATATTTTTTTTACTTCTAGTAATTTGTTTAAAGTTTAATGTATCTTTTTAATGAATGGGTTTACATTAAATTTTGAAATTTGAAATACAGAGAAAGAAAGTAGCCTAGATACAGCAGTAATACTGTTTGATGCTTACTGGAAAAATTCATTTTAAAATCTAATTGTTCAGCTAACTTACTTACTCCTTCCTTTCTTCTGTCTGTCTGTCCGTCCATCCTTCCTTACTTCCTAAACCCAGGTGTGCTCAACCACTGAGCCACATTCCCAGCCCTTTTAAAATATATATATATATATATATACACACACACACACACACACACATTTTTTTTTTTTAAATTTAGAGACAGGGTCTAGCTAACTTAAGGCCTCCTTAAGTTGCTGAGACCTGGCTTTGAACTTGTGATTCTCCTGCCTCAGCCTCCTGAGCTGCTGAGATTACAGCCCCTGGTTCAACTTTATTATCTTACTATGTATTTTATTTTGCTTTTATATGAAATCATTCAATTAGCAATCATATATCAAGTACCAACTCTGATGCAGGCATTTAGTGGATAATGAAGGCCTAAAAACATGAAAGAGGCAGTGTTCTTCTCACCATTAAATATCTACATTCTAGCAGGAGAGAGACCTACCTACAAATAATTAACCTGTTTGTGTTAAATATTATAATGGAGAGATTGACACAATGCAGAAGAGGAAGCCATTCATTCTGACTGGTTTCTGGGGAAGAAAGGATGAAGTGAGTTGGGAACAGATTTAGAAGGCCCTTTAGTATCAACCTTAGGAATATATCCCTGTATTATGTATCAGTAAGTTGACCATACAATTATAGTCTCCATTAGGACCTTTGGGAGAGTGAAAGGTGTGTGTGTGTGGGTGTGGGGGGGTGTCTATTAATAATTATACTGGACAACAGGGGCAAACCACAGCTCACTTGAGTAAACTGAAATGTGTCATCTCATTCACCAAGAGCCATGGGACATTTTTTTAAAAAATATTTTTGTGTTATACAAGGACAAAATAACTTTATTTGGTTGATTTATTTTTATGTGGTACTGAGGATCAAAAGCAGTGCCTCACATGTGAGAGTCAAGTGCTCTGTCACTGAGCCACAACCCCAGCCCTGCCTCAGGATGTTTTTGAAGCAGAGGATTGACATTCACTTTGTGATAGGGAAACATGATTCTGGGATTTTTAAAAATGTAAATCAGACAATATTTCTTCTTTGCATAAAACTCTTCCTTAGCTTCTAATTTTGTTTCATGTTAGATTCAGACTTATAAGAATGGCCTATACTGCTATAGATGGTGTCACCTGGATTCACCTCTTCTACTTCTTGGAATATACTCTCCTCATTGTAAATGGGGCTTCAGCGACTGTGGCCTTACCTCCAACCCTTGAAGGCTCTTTCTCACCATGGACCTCTGTTATCCTCTTTGACTGTTTTGTGGGTGGTGTCTTATTGTTCTGCAGGTTTTATTCTAAATGACACTACCTCAGTGAGGTCTTTCCTGACCACTGCATATCATCTGAACTATAGTCTAAGTTCATGAGGAGAGGTCTTTGATTTTCCTTGTACTTTTTACTAAATGCCTAGCATAAAGCTTGTTACATAAGAAGGTGTTGGATAAATGGTTATAGAATGGCTATAGGTCACAGAGGATGTTTTGTCTGTAGCAATAATTGGAGGACAGGAGACCAGTTTTCAAAGGATACTTTGTCTGTAGCAATAATTGTAGGACAGGAGGCCAGTTGTCAAAGCTTTTCACCAAAGCTCATGCTATGGTTTGAATGTTTCCACCAAAACTCATGTTACAATTTAATCCTTATTGTGTAAGAGATGGGACCAGATGGGGACCTTTAAGAGATGATTAGAATGGATTAATGAATTAATGGGTTAATGGATTATCTTGAGAGTGGGTCTATTATAAAAGCCACTTTGGCTATATCTGAAGTATGTACCCCTCTTGCCCCATGATGCTCTTGTGACTCTGTAGAGCATTCCAGCCAGCCAGAAGGCCCTTAACAGATGTGGCCCCTTGACTTTAGACCTCTAGAAACAGTAAGTTGAATAAACCTTTATTCTTTGTAAATTACATAGTATTGGGTTAGGGCAACAGAAAATGGACAAAGCCCTCGTGAAAAATGATGAGTTGAACTAGATCTATGATAGGACTAAAGGGCAGACTTTAATGAACAATTTCTGGGTAGACACTTTGGACATTTGTGAATAGATTAGGAGAGTAATTAAGGAGATATAGGTATAGAAAATAATTGAGGTTTCCACCTTGGTTTATTAAATGAATTATAATACTAGAAGGTTGAGTCCAAGTTTGTCTTGAGTGTGGGCTAATCTCTGGTATTTAAAGGGGTTACCTAGAAGAAAGGCAGAAGTATTATTTGAAAACTCAGAAGGGATGAACTATAGAAACAAATTTAGGATATTTTGGTGTGTTCATAATAGTTGAAGTTATAGCTGTAGATGAGACTCAAGAATTGAGCTGTAAGGGTGGGGGAAAAAGACTTACAGAATCCAACTTTCCAGGGGTAAACAGAATAAGAAGGTAGCATCACAGTAAGAGTATGCAAGTATAGTTTACATACATACATGCACTGGGAAAGTGGGGACTCCCTAACTTTTCTTTGGGGAATTAATCAGGAAAGCTGAGGTCCTAATACTCAGATGTTACTAAAATCTCATATCTAAGCCAAAATAGTGTCATAATTTATAGGCATATTTTAGTTTTCCGAAGAGTCCTTCTTATTAATAGTCTTTTTGAGTCTTCCCAATGAATGAATGGCAAACATTATCAATTGTTCCTCATTTTTTCTAACCTGTTCTAGAGTTAATATGATGACATAAGTACAAAAATTTCCAGTAATCCTAAATTATGATTATCATAAACATTCATGACATCAAGTGGTTGCCTTCCATCAAAGGTCTATTTATAATACTGAGATGGTGCTTTTTACTCGTTTGCAAGGTGAGTGTGTTTCACAAAACAATAGGAGCCTGGGTGATAACTTGTTTTTACGCTGAGCACTTTTCACTTAAAGTGCCGGTGAGAGAAATTTTCAAAAATCATGTAATTAAAATCCCTTTTACTCGCAGTAGGAGTTGCAGGTAAAGCATTTCAGTGCAGATGTTTGGAAGTAATCTGTCTCTCCATCTGTTAGCTTAGAATTCAATAGAAAGGACTAAGCACATAGATTTAGATAAATGAAATAACTGGTAAAGGGAAGACAGAATTGTAGAAGAAGGTTATTACATTGATAGGAAAATTAAAGAAAAAACATAGTTATTTAAAGATGTATAATTCACAAGGCTGATATGTCTTTCTCTAAGAAACCTTCATTCTTGAAAATGAAAGCTGTTTCATGGTCGTAGTTATTAAAATATCTTTTTGGTATTTTCTGGGTTACTTTATATGTGCAACTGTTCTTGAGTGTTTAAGAAGACAGAAGGCTCTCAATAATTGTTGAATTGAATGCTTCTTGACAGATTGAGAGGCTGGGGAACTTAATTTACAGCATCAAGTATCCACTAAAGCAACTGAGCAATTCAGAATTAAATAAAGCAGAGCAGAAATGGCAAAATAAACAAATAAGGAATGATGATACGGTTTATATGGCATTTCTGGAAGTCAGCTACTTCTTTTTTCTAATTTATTTTTCTGCAGCTTTTCAACGAGAAACATACTTCTTTATTATATTTATTAAGGGTCTAGACTGTACAGAGAAGGGATAAATAAAACTTGATTCTGGAATTATGTCACGTTTTCATTTTACTTAAATGTTTACTAGCACTTTAAAGAAAGGACAAAGGAAGGAGGGAAGGAAATAGGACAAAGGAGGTAGGGAGAGGAGAAGGAAAGGAAGGGAGGAAGGAAGGGAGGAAGGGAGGGAGGAAGGGAGGGAGGGAGGGAGGAAGGAAGGAAGGAAGGAAGGAAGGAAGGAAGGAAGGAAGGAAGGAAGGAAGGAAGGAAATCCCAAGTATTCAGTGACAGATTTCTCAAAAAAATTTTGGTGATGGGAGGCAGAAATGATTATCTACTGAATGAGGCAACTCCCTTTGTTTCTAAAGCACTAAAAATTTTCTTGTACATAACTGTGCTCATGCCCATTAGGATAATACTTAAAAGGCTTAGACTTATTTTGCCACTTTTGATATAAGTTTGGCCTAATTCTGGCCAGTAAAGGTTAAAAAGTAACCTTCTGAGCTTTTGATCAAGATTTGCTCATTTGGGTGAAGAAATAGAGGCCCAGGAAAGAGAGCAGTTTTGAAAATTTTGAACCTCAGCTTCTTGATTCCTTCTTGATTCTAGTATGCAGCACTGCCAAATGAGGAAATGATGCCTGGAACTCTGGTAACCATTTTGCAACTTTAATATGGCCATCTCAAAAAATTAATGCTGACATGCCAAGACTGATGCACCAGGAGAATGAGAAGGGTTAGTCCTTGTTGTTGACATTCTTGAGTAGCTGGAGAAGCTCTAGGATTACCTCCTTAAAGACTTTTTAAAAAGGGTGGGCAGTGGTTTAAGGCATTGTTTTTATTTATTTGTTTATATATGACAGTGGAATGCATTACAATTCTTATTACACATATAGAGCACAATTTTTCATATCTCTGGTTGTATACAAAGAATATTCACACCAATTCGTGTCTTCATACATGTACTTTGGATAATAATGACCATCACATTCCACCATCATTTTTAACCCCGTGCTCCCTCCCTGCCCCTCCAACCCCTCTGCCCTATCTAGAGTTCATCTATTCCTCCCATGCTCCCTCTCCCTATCCCACTATGAATCAACTTCCTTATATCAGAGAAAACATTTGACATTTGGTGTTTTGGG